CTGACGCTTGCAATCCCTGCATAAAATAAGACATAATGCCGCTACATAACTTATGTATTAGTTATTTGAGGAATAATATTCGCTACAAGCAAAAGGTGGAAGTGTAAATAAACTTTCAGAAACAGCGAGCGTGTATAACCCAACTTTTAATAAAATTGCTGTATTTCTTTCTACCATTTTATACACTGAACAAGGCAATGCTCATAGATAACAATTATTGTCATAACTAAAGGTCTGAAGGTACATATATATTATTACTGAAGGGCAATTAACTTAGCAGCATAGTTACAACGTTAGTTTTTTTTAATTTTTTTTTTTTTTTCACTGCAGCGGGAACTCCAGAAGACAAAATGCGATTATTTCTTATCTATTACATAAGCTCAGCTCAGGCACCTTCAGAGGTATGTATGTTCTTTACAGCTTCCAACACCAAATTGTACCACAGGATTTTTCTGTATCATTTCAGCACTAAATAGGTATTTCTGCTTCTCTTTGAAGCAAAGTATGAAATGCCCAGGAAATATTAAAACTTTAGATAAATTTTATCGTGTTGTCAGGGAATCTGCTCACAGAACTTTAGCTACCATTTTGGAGGATATGAATGACTAGTAAGACGGAAGATTATCTTTTGAAATATTTAGTTCAGAGTTACTATAAGAGACACATCTTGACATGCTTTCTATTATTCTGCTCCACTGCTCAATAGAATAGATAAAATGTTAATGTGACTCTTCACTCTGTCCTTGTATATTCAAGAATAATTGAGTCAGTTGACCAGCAGGTGAATAAAGGAGAAATTCTTCTTGTGCCAATATCTGGATCATTCAGGAAACAATTTCTTAATATTTCTTTTGAATTTATGATGATGAATTTCAAAGAAGATTTCTATTATACTGTAGAAATATTATGTGGTGGAAAAAATATGTTGGGTTAGGCAGAGAGAAAGTATTCTTATAAATGTATATTAACTCCTCTTCATTTTTATTATTTGCTGTTGTGACATTTTACAGAAACCAGTATTTTGTCAGGTTTTTTAAAGATGCTGATATAAAAGACTGTTCTCATATCTGAAGGTGCACAGGATTTAATTCCACAAATACTGTTAAGTTTAATGAAAACCGCTCATAGCAAATTGCATTTTAAGTTCTATTTTCATACTTGGTAGGAGATGGGATTAAGACTCATAATTACTTTTTAACTTTGGTTAATGCTATAACTTTACACTGATTATTTAGTATTTAGATAAGAATATCTTGTCTGTCCACATAGGGAGAGTTAAGAGTAGTTTCAACCTTTTGCAATTTTCCACTTTATAATTTCAGATTGATTTGGAGCAGTATAAAAAAGCGTTGATGGATGCAGGTTGTAATCTTGCTCCTTTGAGCTACATAAAACAATGGAAGTAAGTGATTTCTTTTTTCTCCTACGTGAGGCTATAATATAGGTGATTTTACAGAACTCACTGTTATCAAAGAATTATGTGTTACTTCTCATACATCGTAAATTATCCTTAAACATTGATTCTGGCATATTTTTTTGCTGTCATTGTTATGGTAATACATGCAAATCTTATTTTAAAACTAAACTCCAGTAATGCCAGAACACTGTTGAACATGACACTTGTAATGTACTTAATGATCCAAGACAGAAACAACTTACTGATTTAAATGAAAAGTTGTGCTAGTTCAGACTCCAGATTTTTTTGGTTCATACCAAAGGGCCATGCTACCTATCAGTTATTCTAGTTTTACATGGTATCAAAATAAAGTCTTTGTCTTTTAAGTATAAAATCTAATTCCTTTCAGTGCTTCAACTATTGTAATTATAGACCAGGGAGATCCATGTAATAAAGAGTTACTTCCTAAAAGAGTTTGGGAAGCAGAAGTTTTTTCGCTTTCAAAATGACCCAAGTGGAACATTCTGCAGCGGTATGTGCCATGAGATCAGCATTTGATTTCTATCCCTGCTTTCACAGGGCTTTCACTAAGATGGCTTCGGCTCCAACCAGCTATGGAAACACTACGCCTAAACCTTTGGGGTATGCTTTTGATGAATTTTCTGTAAGCCTTTGGGTTCTTTTAGCTTATTTTAGTGTACTGAAAGTGTGATTAGAAAGATTACAAGTGCTTATCTCCCCTTAACAGTGCATAGGACTTACACACATGAAAATAAAGAGATCTGGGACTAAATCGACAAAGTAAGTATAGTGATATCTGCACCTGCACATTACATGTACAGGCTCTCGTAGGAGAAGAATTCAGCACCAGGAAATGGATCTGTGACAGCCACCATTTTGAGCCTTATTTAGTCAATGGCAGGAGAGAAAAACAGCCCTGTGTATTCAAAACTGGTTCTCTCCAGGTCTTGGAGACTGTCAGGGATGCAAGAACACACTGCTTTTTCATTAGGATGTCCTGGACTACTGGGTGTCTGTCTGATTGTTGGAAGGTGTAGTTATTTATTCCAAGACATGAAATGAAGAAATAATGACTGTGCTAAAGGTACTTATATCCCATACAGGATACAGGATATGGGACTTGGGTCTTTCCATGCTTGAGAGGATTTGAATCCCTGTTACCAACTTTACTTTCAGGAATGCACTGTCACTGTCATAAGGAAACTGTGGCACAGTATGGTTAGAGAGAATGCCGGTGCTGTCTCACTTGGAAAAATTACTGTTTCCTTGGTTGAAGACACTGAGCATCTCTATTAAGTCTGGTGATTAGGACACCCACTTGAAAGAAGCACTCAAATCCTTTCACTGCTGAAGTTATAAAATAAACTGTTCAATGGATTAAAGACTAGAACTCAAGACTCCTACTGATAGGTGAGGTTCTAACTGCTAGATTAGAGGTGTATTCCCATACACTTGGTTGATATGTGGTTTGAAGAATATATTTCATGACAAATTGAATTACTTGGTACTTAAGTCCCGTCAACTTTAATGGGAATTGGATGTCAGCATAAAGCTTAAGAATGCAAATTATAAAAAGAAGGGCTTAAACATCATCTTTATTTTGTTTTTCAGTCTGTTTTCCCGTGTTATGAATACAGGATCACAGTTTGTGATGGAAGGAGTGAAGAACTTGGTACTGAAGCAACAAGTAAGTTTAAAAACAAAAACAAGTCTATCGCTTGAGCATTGTGAACATTCCGCAAAACAACTTCTAGTACCTCTGTCTTAGTGAAATTAGTTGGACAGTAAAAAAAAAACCATCAGCCTCTGCTGGTGGATAGATCTATGACGTTATAGTTTCCAGTTTTTAGACAAGTAACGAATAATGTTCAAATTTTCTTTGAATACCTCCATTTGTAAGGAATTAGATTCCAGTATGGGTGATTAAGACTGATTTCAGCATTATAAAAAGAGCAGCTGTGAAATACTCAAAATAGACTAGACCTTCATAAACAAAAAAACCCACCCCTCCGTGTCTTTACTTAGAACAGCATGTATTAAATGCATCTATTCCAGAGTGATTGAAAGGCTGAAAGTGTTCATCCTCTCTTCAGTTACAATTCAAGTATTTCCAGTTTTTCTACATAAGAATGTACAGCAACCATAATCTTGAAATGTGCTTGAAAATCAAAGTGTGAAAATCAGTAATGACATGGCCACCTTCTAATATTCCCTTAAGTTTAGAATATATTGCTGAGCATAACTTGCATGAAAACTTCAATGTACACCCTGCAAAAGAAAACAAAACAACGAAAAAAAAGACACTGGTTGTGTAATTTCTTGTAGCTGAAATGTTGAATTGTGGTTCCCAGAAATCTGCTTCCCTGTAGAGGATGCATTGTTTTCTCCAATATGCACTTTTGTCAGATGGCAACAAATTAATATTTACTGTTAAAAATCTTAATTCTGTAATATTTTGACATCAGAATTTCTAAGGAAAAGATCATTCATCATATTATCATTCTTAGTGGAAGAACCAGAATTTAATTTGGGAATACAGCATATCAGAACTAAATAAAATGAAATCTCATCTCTAATTAAATCTGCATATTTTTGACATAGTTAATCTAATCATAGCCATTTTTTAGTCATCCTGTTATGCACATAATTTATGCATTAAAAGTATCAGTTATCACATAAAAGCTTTTAAAAATCATTTCTGTGGCTTTTGTAGGGTAGTCAATGAAATTAATTCTGCAGGAATTTCACTATGACTAGATATGATAAATTGCATCACACCATTACAGATCAGTGGTACGTCATGAAAAACAGTTGAGGAAACTGGTTTAAATATGCAGCTTGCCTGTATGTCATATTTGAGAGATCTTCAGATAAACTGTTACTTGTAACAATAGATAGTAATTATATTCTAAATTAGACTTCCTATTCTTCTCGTGTTAAACATTTTGTCATTTGTTTTAGCATGTGTGGCTTTAAAATGTTAGTATTATTCTTGATAAAATGGCTTGATTTGTTTTGGGTTCTGAGTGAGTAAGAAGCCACAATGATGATGTTTTCAGGACATTTTTTTTCTTGCTTTTAATTCCTTCTCCAGGTGTCTTGGGGTAGCCAAATAAAATGCTGTTCTTCCTCATATTTTTCAGCCTGATTTAGGTCTGTGGTATTTCTGTTAAAGTTAACTTTTTATTTCTCATTCAGGGATTTACACTGGTTTTTTACTAAGTGTTTTTCAGTGTTACTTGTAGATCATCCTTTGGAATGTCCTTTTTTGATATATTCTGTCAACAAGACACATTCCCAATTCTGTTGCTATGTAAACTCTTCCTCAGTTTATTACAACTAAAGTGGTTTGACTGTTTAATACCTCAGATCTTTTGTCCAAACTAACATTTCCCATCTTAAATAAGGAAGAGTCATCTTGAATCTCAGTTTCTTTCTTGCCAGTTCATCCAAACATTTGTTGCCAGGATTGCTTTTTTTACCCCTTTCTTTTTTAGTTCTTTTAGTTCTTAGAATCACACCCTTAATTCTCATCTTCAGCTTTAAAATTCTTTCCTTAAACTGCAATGTATTTTTTTAATAAGAATTCATACATGAATTCACAAAAATGATCCGAGGCCTGGAGCACCTCCCCTATGAGGCCAGGCTGAGAGAGTTGGGGTTGTTCAGCCTGGAGAAGAGAAGACTACAGGGAGACCTTATTGCGACCTTGCAGTACTTAAAGGGGGCCTACAGGAAAGATGGGGAGAATCTTTTTAGCAAGGCCTGTTGTGACAGGACAAGGAGTAATGGATTTAAACTAAAGAGGAATAGATTTAGACTAGACATAAGAAAGAAATTTTTTTACAATGAGGGTGGTGAAGCAGTGGGACAGGTTGCCCAGAGAGGTGGTAGAGGCCCCATCCCTGGCAACATTCAAGGTCAGGTTGGACGGGGCTCTGAGCAACCTGATCTGGTTAAAGCTGTCCCTGCTCCCTGCAGGGGGGTTGGGCTAGATGACCTCTAAAGGTCCCTTCCAACCCAAAGCATTCTATGGTTCTATGATACATCATCACATGCCTGCATATATTGGTAATACCTAAATACAACTCTGTTCCTATCTTCACATTTTTTTTGCACTTTCTGTTCATCCCCTAGCTAGATGCTCCTCAGATGTCTGCATTTTCTGTACAGAAAGGTAATTTAGGCGATGATAAAAATGCTCAACCTTTACAAAATATAAGAGGAAAACTGTTTATAGTAGTATTTCAAATGTTCTGTAAACTATTCTGTAAACAATAGTGTGCCTGTGAATAATTCTTAGTAAGCATTTCAGCATTCCATTGATTTGACATTATGTTTTACAGAATCTACCAGTCACACGTATATTGGATAACCTTATGGAGATGAAGTCAAACCCTGTGAGTATAACTGCCTTCATATGGAAAGAGGTGGAACAAATGAAATCTTGAGGCTGTGATACGTAATATGCCATGGCTATTTTTTTCATGATAATGCAGCTAAATCTAATCGTGTAGTATCTCAAGAATAGAACCATTTTCATAACTATTTCATAAGATTTTTTGTATAAAAATAGTTTCTAAACCATGACAAATTATTGTGTCTCATTGGAACTAGTGTTTTTGAGGTTTTTTTCTATTCTGAGCTTCTATTACTCTTGTGCTATACTGAGTTTCTGTTGCTCCTAAATTGGTAAAAGTTAAACCATGGGCTGAAATTTTCTTTGCATCAAGGTGACTTTCTTTTTTTTTAAGAGTGCAATTTCAGAAGTAAAGTAGTTACAGAGAGGTATGTTAGAGAAAATTTTGTTTCCCACATCTTTAAAGCTTTGCTAGTTGGAGGAAAATATTTTAGTACTCACGCAGTCTTTCGGTTTGCAAGCAGAGTTGGTTTTGTGTCAGAAAAGTGTTTTCCCCTTGTTTCTGTGAAAATTTACACAGACTTAGTAAGTTACAAACTTTTGAAATGCTTAAATGTTAGCTAGATAGTCAAGACATTCGCTAGAATTTACAGCTAAAAATAGCCCTAAGTCGTCTTATACATAATGTATAGTCAGTGCAGTCTTTTTTTCTTGCTATGTGTTTCATTTCTTCCGAACTCTTACATAGGAGCATCCTGTGCACAAACTTGTTCTAAAAAAATCACCTGTTAAAAGTCATTTAGAAAGCTTTAATGTTTGCCACATCGTATCAGTCTTCCTGTTTTAATGACATCAGCATCAGATAGAGATACAATTGTAATATCTCACACTGGTTAGTAGATTTCAAACATTCCTCTTAGTCCACTTTCACCTTCAGGTATTAACTCTATGTAAAGGGAGATAAATAGTGGCAAAATATGAAAATTATCAACATGCAAGTAATCCTGTCTTTTCTTAAACTGTACTTCATAGATAATATATGTCACGATTGTTAGCAGAAAATTTGCTTTCTCTTGACAAACAAAGAAATTGACACTGTTTTCAGTGGCAGTGGATTGTTGTCCCTATTTGCAAGACTTGGAAAAGGTGTAATTTTTATTTAGTCAACCAGTAGAGGTCACTCAGAACACTTAATACAGAAAGCTGAAATTAAAAACTACAGACAACTTACAAGTAGGTGAAAAATGAAACAATTGGGTTTTAAAATAAACGCTAGCTTCCTCAGGCTGCAAGTTTAGGAATTAATTTGGAAAAGTTTGCAAGTCCTATGGGGTTTTTTTGCTGACTTGATATTGTCATATTTCACTTAGTAGAAAACAGCTACGATCGCTTTGATAATTTCAAGAAAAGACTGATCTTCTCACTTGAAAAAGCAGAGACTCATCCAGTCTGTCAGACGGCACCTTCATGTTTCACTGCCATGTCAGAGACGGGAATTCATGGGCCAAAACCCAGAGTCCTTCTTTTCAAGTCAGAGTAGACCAGGCAAACCCTAAAGAATGATTCTCCTAACCTGCAGGAAAAAGGACAGCAACTTTCTGAGTATGTGTCAGCTAACAGAAGCAAGCCAGAGAGTCATTGTGGAATATGTTTAGACTTGCTGTACCATTAGCAGAATCAAAATTGTATCTGGAAAAGGACAATGTGTAGAAATACACCACTGTGGCCTCTGTTCATCTTCTGATGTTTGAGGTCCTTTTCTGTTTCCCAGAATAGAAAACTATTGCACTGCAGGCAAAATACAAAGGGAGGGAAAAAAAAGCTTAAGATTTTACTTTTTTTACATCACAGAAAAAAATCTCCTTCATAGTTCATTGACTCTTACTAACCACAGTGATCAGTGGATGTAACGTACATACAGATAAAAGTTGTAATGCAAAATTAGAACAGATTATTGAGAAGTCAAACAATTGTTACAATGATTGTAAAGAATTTAAATTATTTTCTAAATATAAAATGCAACAATAAAGTAAATATGTGAAATGCACAACTTGTACCACCAACATTCACAAATACTACTGTCAGTTGACATTTTAAACCTATTCAGAATGATATGCTGTGCAAAACTCTGTAGGGTTGTCTGTAAATCACTTTGTGTGTTTCTTGTCCCTGCTGCTGCTTTTGTCTCACAAGGACAGCTACTAGGAAGGATGAAGAAGTCTACACCTCTGTTTTCCAAGTTTTTCAGAAGCAGGAACAGATAGAACAGTTCTTACAGACAGTAATACCATCCTGTAATTTTTTAAATTTGTCTAGATTATCTAACTACAGTTACACCTTTTCTTGAAATACTTATTCAGAAACATTCTTTGATGACCTTAAAGTAATTCATTGCTTGGTTTTTTTTAATAGTAACATTTATTGGTTGAAGCAGGTTTTCAAGCAATTGCTTTTGGGATTATGTTTTCATAAAGGAATGTTCTGTTCATAAATCTAATAACATAGTTGCTTTGTTTTGGTATCGCTAAATAGAGATTGTTTAAAACCTTAAATCTTCCTAATACACAAAAAAATCATATTGTCAAGTATACACAAATTTTAACCCATAAATAGGAAATTGACCACCACGTACTATAGAATTAGGGAGGTTCTTTTAAGTACCTTCACAGAATGGTTTGATTCTTGAGTAAGGACAATCTTTGATAAGTAAACCATTAATATTTTTATGACAAAGTCCCAAAGGGGTTTAGCCTCTGTCAATACAGTATGTACATTTGTATTGACTTAAGAGGTAGATAAATCTTACTTGTTCTACATATGAATGGAACTGTATTTTGGTTAATATCATCCCTTTCAGTGAATATGGTATCTTTCAGGCTTAGGATATACTGTATGATTACCTTTCACACATTACAACGAAAAATTCTAAAAATGGGAGATTTCCTTAGTCCAAACTAGCCATGCTAGCTTCTGCAGAAAAACAAATACAGACTGAAAGTCAAGGATATTTCCATGGGTCTTTCTCCATTTTAATTTGAAATCTTGAAAATTAAGTTTGTAATTTCAAAAGTATGAATTTTATTCTTGAATTGCTTGGGGAAGTCACAAATTCAGTTGTGTGTAAGGAAACTGCTATTCAGTTGATTTTATTGGCAGACTAGCTATTTCTGAAATCAGAATCTAGTAGGGTTTCTTTCCCTGCACCCTCAGAA